AAACGAGACCAGCACAGGAGCCAGGAGACAGAGCCAGGGGCGGGGCCAGGAGTCAGTGGTAGGGCCTTGGGGCGGGTGCACCCACCACTGGCCTTTTTGTTAACCAGAGAATGCCTGCTGTGAGGGGTCGGGGATGTGGGTGAGTGGTTACTCTGTGAGTGGGAGCACCCTTCCTGGGCGCTGCGTCACCTCTGACACTCTGTGGAGGGCGGGCCCCTGCCGTGGGGGCTGCAGCATCTCAGGGGCACAGCGTGCCACACTCAGCAGGTTGCCAAGGTAGGATGCTCCTTCTGACATGGGGACCCACACATGTCTGACTCTCAGCAAGGGGTCAGGGTTTCCTGGGTCCTGTGTCTGAGCCCTGTCACCTTCCAGTGTCCAGGATACAAACTCCTTCCATGTGTGGAGCTGGATGGGGCGCAGTGCTGGCCACTGGCCCTCAGGGACCCCATGGACGAGTGTTCGTTCCCAACATACATCGGCCTCCTACACATATCTGTCTGTGCATGTGTGTCTGTGTGTGCAGGCCTAGCTGCCTATATGCCTTGACATGCATACACCCGCATGCAAGCTCACAGGTTTGTGCACGTGTGTGTGCCGGCATAGCTGCATGTACGTGCCTTGGTGTACACATACACACATACACACACACACATGCACGCCCCTGTGAGTATGATTGCGTGTGAATGGCTGGACAGCTGTATCCATGTATGCACATCTCGAGTACGTGTCCCAGTGTGCACACACACACACACACACACACACATACACACACCCATGCATATGTGAATACACAGCTGTACATGTGGCCAAGACCAGCACCCCACAGGGAGTGGGCAGCGGTGTGACAGGCCTGGCATGAAGGTCTCAGACACTGGTGTCCTGGTATCTGACACAGACACGCCTGCTCCTGAGGCGGGTGGCCACCCTCGCCCCTCGCCCTCGCCCCACTCACGGCATGGAATGATTCCAGAACACGCAGGTGGGCTTGGTGCGCTCCTCCGTCTCCAGCAGGGGGAACTCCACCAAGATGGGCTGCGCCAGGGGGCTGGGGAGCGCCCGGCCCTCACTGTACAGGGCTGTGCTCACCACCGCTGTGTTGATGACTGGCCGGCTGGGCAGCCTGTGGGCACGAGGAAGGACAGGGCTGGGAGGCTAGAGGAGGGGGCCGGCCTGCTTTCTGTGAGTGCCTGGCTGCCGGGCAGGGCTGCACCTCGAGGGACGGTGGGTGTCACGCACCGTGTGGGCCAAAGCAACCCTCAGACGATCCGAAAGGAAAGGAAAAGCAGGCACACCTGCCCACAGGGCGCCATGCCCATGCTGGATACAGTGAGGCTGGTGAGGGCAGGAGGCTGGCTGAGCAGGCTGCGGGGTAACCCTGGGGGGCCCGCATTGGCCTTACCTGAGGCTGCGGCGGTCGGGGTCATAGTGCTCAGGCAGCAGCTGCCCCAGAGTCCGGTAAATGATGACCAGGGCGATGGCAAACTGGCCAGGCTCCTCTGGGGCTCTCCTTGTCCTCTCGGTGCTGGGCCACTCGGGGGGCTTCCGGCTGGGGGGCCTCGCTGTGGGGCCTTCTGCAATGTGGGCACAGAGGGTGAGGCCAGGGTATCCCGTGGGGTCCCACCAGGCCTGTCACAGGGTGGCAGGCCCCCAAATGACATATGCCTGTTGAGGGGTCAGTGATGAGGGCAGTACTGCCTGCGATGAAGCCTTTCCCGAAGGCCTGGGAAAGGATACTCGGAGAAACGGGGATGCCACAGAGAGCTGGGACACGGGAGCTTGGGGGGGATGCAGAAGCAGGGGGGGCCCTGCTTGTCACCTGTCCTAAGTGTGCCAACCGAAAACCTGAACACCCAAACCCATGTCACCAAGGCGATTCCAACTGGGGCAGCCCACATGTGCAGGGCAGGGATGCTCGGGCTTTCCCAGCTGCAGTCCCGGGAGGCTGTCCACCGGGCCTTGTCCCCCAGCACTGCCCTGAGGCTGGGGGCCCAGCGTGCACCCACCATCGGAGGCACTCAGAGGCCCGGATGGCAACTGTCTTTATAGCTCGTCCCCAGGCTCTCACACGGAAAAGGGTTTTACAAATCGGAATTTGAGTAGGTTCATTAAACAAAAAATAAAAGGAGTCACTGATAGATTTGCTAAGGAGCCAACACAACCAGCAATTCCACCGAAAACATTTCGAGTCATCAACGGCCCCTTGCTGACTGTCGAGGAGTCCCTGGATGGTGACACACTTGGCTGCTACTCACAGGACGGAGGTTCGAATCCACCCCGAGGCATCTCGGAAGACAGGCCTGGTGATCTCCTCTCCCAAAGCCAGGCTCTGCAGACCCTCTAAGGAGCGCCGGTAGAGTAATGGGTGCTAGCTAAGTGCAAGGTGGTCAGCAGTTCAAAACCACCGAGGTTTCTCCAGGGGAGAAAGACAGGCTTTCTGCTCCTCTAATGACATGACAGTCTCAGGGCCAGGTCTACCCTGTCCTGGAAGGTCGCTGAGAGTCAGAACTGACCCCCTGGGGCACAGCTCTCCCCTGACTCATGGCACCCATGAGTCGGCTGCTGCTCTGGGAAGGGCTCCTCGATGGGATGGACCCAGGAAACAGTGTCTCACAAGGACTGACCTTGATTCAGGCTCCCTGTGGCCCCATCCCACCCCATGTGGGGAATTATGGCACCGGCAGTCCAGTTTTTAGAGCCTGGGAGGCCGGCCCTCCTGTTACTGTCCCTTGTGCCAAATGCCTGAACCCAGCACTAACACAAATTCCACCTGCGCATGCTGACTGAGTTCTGACTCATGGGGACCCCGCGTGTGGGCAGCCCCTCCATCCCCAGGTGGGCTGCGGTGGGGACAGTCGGTCGGTTCCCGAGGCCTCCAGTGGAGCACCGAATCTAGTCCCTGCCACGGGCATCTCCCAGGGTGCGGGGCCGGTCACCTTTCTGCCTCTCGGCCTGTGAGAAGAAGTCGGCGGGGAAGACGACGGAGGAGCCCAGTTCCTGGGGGTACTCCTGGCGAAGGTCCTGGAACCTCGGCACCTGGGCGCCCGTGAAGTTGGACTTGTCGACGACGTCCACGGCCAGGACTGTGGAGACGGTGGGCCTCCATTGCACACACACCCCTCCGCTCAGGGGCTCCGGGGACCCCCGCTGCCCGCCCCAGCCGGTATGCTCAGCACAGGGCCACACGCAGCATCCTGTGTCTCCGTGAAGCTCAGCGTTACAGAGCATGGTGCAGAGCAAAGTGGGGGTGGGGGTGGGGGGTGGGCACAACTAACCCCCTTGCTAGGGCGGCCTCCAGGGGCACCGGCCCTCTGGGCAGGAACTGAGGGTCCCTCCCAGGTCAGTTGTCCAAAGGCTGTTTCTAGGGCGGGGAGGGGCTGTGTTAGGGACCAGGCCCCTCCCTTGATGAACACAGGGTCTGTTGAGATCAGGGCCCCAGGTCCACCCCTACCCCCATCTCCCGCCCCCTGAGGACCTCTCCTGCTCTTCCTGGATGGATGGTGAGTTAGTTAATTGTGCCAGCCTGGCCGATAATCACATGTGGTGCTGGTTGAAAGGCGGAGAGATAAATGGGTGGTGAAGCCTCGCCTTTCTAGTTCTCGGGTCTCTTGTTTTGTGATGGTTGCACCGGGTGCAGCTGCCTTAGCAGTTCCCTGCTTCAGCTTGCAAGATGGACTTCCTACAAGATATCCCCAAGGAGAAGCTGCATGGATCTATCCCGATGCAGCCCTGGGTGCTGGAGCAGCCGTGTGGAGACCCCTGCCAGTGCTGAGATGCTTACACGTTCACTGACTCAGCTTTCCTCCTGCAGTCGGCATTATTGCCTCTGTTTTGTGAGGTGAAGGACTTTGTGGACTGGTGTTGGGTTAATGGGTTAATGTTGGACTTGTGGGCTTGGGCAGCATTGGGTTGGGATGTTTTCGTGATGCACATTTTCTTTGCATAAAACTCTCTCTTATACGTGAGTTGCTGTGGATTTGTTTCTCCAAAGTACCCAGACTAATACAGTTGGCGTCTGGTTCTACCATGGGGGTGGCAGTGGGAGGTGCTACTGCTCTGCCAGACACTCCAATTCCCCCTCAGGGAGGCCCTGGGTCCTGACAGGGAGTACCACCCGGGGGGGAGCTGAACCCCCAAATCCAGGGTCTGCACCCAGAACCACCCAGGCTGTTGGGCAGGGTGACCTGGTGCAAGGGGCCCCGCTCTCACTCATGTTGGGCGTCACGAGGATGAAGGGCCGCAGGTAGGTCCGACGGACATTGGGCGCCACGGTGCTGAAATAGGCCTCGAAGTGCTGCAGCAGGTGGGCCACGCCGCCTTCACTGCGCTGCAGCTGCTCCCAGGCGGGCCTGGTGGCCGGGGCCAGGAGGGCGCTGCCTGCACTCACCACATCCTGCAGGACAGAAGGACAGACAGACAGGGACGGTGCTTGGCCGGCTGATGGAGGACCCGCACAGGTCCGTGGCGCCTCATGGACCACGCACCCCTCCCTGGCGTTTCGTGGGCTCGTGGCCCCCCGCGTGGAGCCCTCCGTGGGCGACATTTCCCGGCAGTGCGTGGTGCCTGCCTGCTGGTCTCATTCCCCAGGTGCTCACAGTCCTCTCACGCTCTCCCTAGCCTCGTCTCATGCGCCCAGACGAACACCGGGCGAGCATCCCTTTCTATGCCCTGGGAGGCCAACATGGGTAGGGGGCGGGTGGGGGGGCTGGGCTGGGCAGGATTTTGACCCGGAAGGCATCTCTCCCGGCTGCATGTTTGTGTCACTCACTGCCTGCAGCCCACAACTTGGGGACAGTGAGGGTGTCCTTAATCTGATGCCCAGCCCTATTGCAGAGTTGGGAGGGACACCTGCAGGACCCTGGGGTTGGCCTGCAGGGACAGGAGCCTAGGGGAGACATCACTGTTTGTCCCTGAGCACCCAGGGGCCATCACAATCCCCCGCCCCGCCCCACCAATCCAAGCAAAAAGGCTCTGTAGCCTGGTAGTCTGTGGTCCCAGGGTGTTCATGGGAACTCTGGGCACAGGTGTGGCTCTCACAGGGACCCTGGGTCACGTCTGGCATGGAAATCAGTTGTTTGTGTGTGTGTATAGGGGCCGGGGTGGTGGGTGGGCTTTCCACCAGGCTGCTCAGGCTGGGAGCACTTTGGGACCACTGGGGTGGGCTGCACTCCCCAAGGAGGCCGGGGTCCTGGTCTGGGGGCTGTCAGCTGCTTGACACAAGTTGGTGCTGTTAATTCCCTCGGCCCACAGCCAGGGACGGGCAGGGGGTGGGGGTGTCCTTAGGAGCTGAAGACAATTGTGCGGACAAATGCTATGGCCCAGCTGAGCAGTGTCTACTGCGGAGGAGAGGGGGTCCTTGTCAGGGACACTTTTCGTTCTCACAGCGGGGTGCCCCATGGTGGGGGGGGCGTCCCATTGGCTGGATGCTTTTACTAGATGGGGGTCCCCTTACTGACCTTCAACCTGGGGCTAGTCTGCTCCTTCATTGTCCTTCCCCACACAGCCCAGGGGACATGGACTCCCCCACACCTCCTCACACTACCTGGGGATGGGGACTTCCTGACACCCCTCATACCGTCTCACCTGGGGACAGGGACTCCCTGGAGACCATGCCATACCACCTGAGGGCCTGGGGACCCCCCCATCACTGCACGGCCCCGTGGTGTCAGTGCCTCCCTCCCGCCTGCCACACTTCCTCCGAGAGAAATGACCCCGTGCACATGGGTGTCTGGGGAGACTGTGGCTCCCACTCCCACCAGTCCATCCCCCCCGCCAAGAGGCACACCCCACCTCGTGGAAGCTGGCGTCCCGCGTGGCCGCCAGGTCGAAGCCCTGCTGCCCGCTCTCGTGCTGCAGGACACGGGCCAGCAGCTGGTAGGCGGCGCGTAGGTCGCTGCCGGACATGGTGCCCGCGTGCTGCGTGGCGTTCCACAGCGCCTTCGCCAGGCCCACGGAGCTCGCCCCGTCCAGCTGCGTCTCGTTGCGGCCCAGCTTCTCGTTCTGAAAGGCGCCTGGTGGAAGCTTATCTGCCAGCAGGGGGCTTCGAACATTCCCCAGATCCAAGATGACCTTGGGCAGGGACCCCGAAAAGGCAGGGCCTCTCATGTCTAGATGGGTCCTGATGGTTACTGACAGGAAGGCTGGTTCTTCAGCACCCCGCCCCTGCCCCCACCCACCCCCGGGCCAGTCCTCCAACTCCCGGGCTGGGGGCTGCTGCTGTGGAGACCCATAAAAACTGAGCTCCGAGACCCCGCAGGACAGGGGAGAACTGCCCTGCGGGGTGCTGAGCCTGTAGCTCTTCATGGGAGCAGAAAGGCCGTCTCTCTCCCTGGGAGCCTTGGAGAGCTTGAACTGCCGACCCTGGTTAGCAGCCCAACGCATACCCACTAGCCATCAGGGCTCCCATTCTGTCCCAAGAGAGCGCAACGGGGCACCTCTGCTCTGGGGCCCGGGGCCACAGCCAGGCAGAGTGGGGTCTGCGGAGGCAAGGGCCTTGGCTTTTAGTGGGGGAAACAGAGGGCACAGGGAGACGGGAAGGGGTGCAGTCAGTGGACAGACAGAACATGGGGATTCAAAGCGAAGCCATCAGAGCTGGTCCTGGGGGCCAAGCCGAGGCGCTCGGCGGTGGGTCCCCAGCATAGCCAGACACTCTCAGGTCCTGGGCGGAGAGGCAGCCGGTCGCCCCCCCGGGGCCCCCACCCCACACCACCGCTGGGCCTGGGTGCCGTCTGGAGGCACCTACCATGACTTTGAGCTCCAAGAAGGCTGCGGAGGTGCAGTTGAAGAGTTCAGGGGGCAGCCAGGCCTTCTCCACGCTGCAGTGCCGCACTGCCGTGCCTGGAGGGGGAGAGGCCTGGGGGGGGGGGGGTGGCCGGGGTGGGGGGGGGCAGTCACCGGTGCTAAGGCCCTGGTCTGAACTCATTGTGCCCAGTGAATGGGCTTGGGGGCTGGCACCCAGGGCATGGGCAGCTGCCACATTCCCCCTCATCGCTAGCCACGCGCTCTGCTTGCCTGCATCTCGCCAGCCCCAAGGGGGCGGCTGGACCACACCGAGCTAGCGCAGGCCACGGGTCGGCCCGAGTGCTTTCTGTATGTCATTTCACTGCTGTCCTGGAGTGGGCAGTGCCCACCCATCTCAGAGCGCAGCCAGGGCTGTGGCCCGCACAGCATCTTGTCCCTGGCGGCAGGACCCAGGCTCAGGCTGGGCTGGGCCAGACACGATGTCCACCGTCTGCCTTGTGGGTGTTGCGGTCCGTGGTGGAGGAGTGTGGTGGGTTGCAGCTGCTAACTGAGGGGTGTGTGTGATTCAGCCGTGACTTGGGAGCAAGACCAGGCTCTCTGTCCCCCTACACAGGGCCAGGACCAGGTGGCACCAGCATGGGCGTGGCGGCTGTGGGGAAGCCTGAGGGATATTCTACTTCATCACCTGGGGGTCCCTGTGTGCTAGGACTGCTCAGATGCCGCAGGAACCCCAGCGGGGGGTGGAGGTCTATCCTGTCACCTGGGCCCGTTTGCCAGCATCATCAAGGCAGACGCCGTCTCCTTCCCCCACACTCGGGCTAAAGAGAGTCTCACACTCTGTGGTACTGGCGATTCTGTGGGTGCTGGCGGCTGGCCACTCCCCCATCTCCGCCACACACAATGTCTTGCCTGGTGATGGCCGCCAGCCATGGTACTCACCTGAGGAACCCTTGGGGCACGGCACGGCCGCTGGCTGCCCAAACTTGGTCTGTGGCCACCAGATGCCAGCCTCGAATGCCCTGGGACAGCCACTGTAGACCACTGCAGATAGTGGAGAAGACCACTCAGGCCCTCCGGCATAACCCTCCGCCCACCCCAGCCTGGGCAGGCCCTGACTCCGAGGCTGGACTCTGCCACCCCCCGCCAGGCTGGGGGACCCAAGGCCAGTCCTACAGGGCTGCTGATCACAGCCAGGTGGCAAAGGAGGCCGTCGCTGGGTGTCCCCCAGGGGTGGCCCATGGAGACACACGCAGACATGGAGGGACACAGGTGTGGGCAGCAGACATGCCCAGCCAGGCAGCACACACTCAGACACACGGATATTCAGACACACATACACGCCCAGACACACCCAGTCAGGCACACACATTGAAACATACACACCGATACATGTAGACACACCGAGACACACACCGAGGTAACGGACAATCAGACATAAACACACACACACAAGACACACCCAGCCAGGCACACGCTCAGACACATGGACATTCAGACATATACACACACACAGACACATACATTAAGACGCACACACACACACACACACACACACACACACACACACACACACACACAGAGGCCCGAGGATAAGACCAGGAGGCCGGTGGCCAGTGTGGACCTTCACAGCCCAGCGTGGTGACCTCCGCGAAGGGGTTGTCGCAGCGGTTGCACTGGCGCCCGACGACGCCCGGCTTGCAGGAGCATTGCCCGGTGTCTGCATCACAGGCGCGGCTGTGGGCGCCGTAGGGGAAGCAGTCGCAGGGCAGGCAGGCGTCCTGCTCAGGGGGCTTGTAGTGGTTCTCCTGCGGGGGAGGGGAGCACGTGACCGTCCGCTGCATGAGCACCTCTGGGCTGGCCCCCAGACACACCCGTTTCCCAGGTAAAGCACCCCACCCTCTCGCAGGGGAAGCAGGACTGCTTTTTGTGGCTTTAATTCTGGCTGGTGTTTGTTCAAGGAGCTGGAAGACGAGGGGGCCTCAGCAGGAGGAGCTGGCGGGCCCAAGACTGGGCCCACTCCACAGAGGGACTGTCCGGCTGTGGTCTCCACAGGCGGCAAAACCTGCATCTTGGGGACTGAGCAGCTCGCGTGGACGCCGTTGGCTGAGCTCACACCAGGGGGCAGCAGAGAGCATTGGATGCATGGGGGAATGTGTGTGTGGGTACACAGACAGGTGTGTGTGTACATGCGTGTGAGTGATGTGTAGGTTTACAGGTAGATGGGCATGCGTGCGTACAGGTAGATTAGTATGGTGCATGTAGAACTAGGTGCATATGTGTGTACGTGTACAGGTAGGTGTGTATAAATGTGTATATATATAAGGTTGCGTACACATCTGTGTACATGTGTATACACACATGTATAGCTGTATGTGTGTACATGTCCAAGTGAGTGTACGTGTAAGTGCACGTGAGTACAGACAGGTGGGTGTGCGTGTGTACAGGTATACTTGTGTGGTGTACACGTACATACAGGTACACACGTATAGGAAATGTGTGGGTGTACATGTACAGGTAGTTGTGTGTGCACACATGTACAGGTACCTGTGTACATGTAGGTGTGTACAGGTAGGCTGCAGCGTGAGTACTGGTAGATGTACTTGTCTGTACACGTACAGGTAGGCTTATGTGCATGTGTTCAGGTACCTGTGTGCATGTACGTGTGTTCAGGT